GGGACGAGGGTGGGGGTAATAGGTGCCTATATGAGACAAAGCCCCAAATATCTGGACTGTCCCTATAAAATCGGGACATCTGGTCACCCTAGGCGGGGCCGGCCCCAAGGGTGCTGGGGAGGGAGGGGACCGTGTGCTGGGGCGGGGTCGGCCCTGGAGGGTGTAGGTGTAGGGGTTGTGTGTGAGGGGCTGCCCTGCCCTTCAACTGGCCCTATCCCTAGGGCTGCCCAGGGGCTACTTTCACGGCTTTCCCGTGCTCGCTTGGGCTGAGCTGAAGTTCACTTTCTGCCTCTCCTCTCTGTGCCCCATGGGTGCTGTAGGTTGCCTGGTACTTCTGGGGGCAGGGGGCCCTGCCTTCTTCCTATGCACTGTCCCTGCCGTCTGGCTGGCATGACTCTTCTGAGCCGTGGGGCAGAGGGGAGGAGGCCATTCCTGGGCCACAGCACAGTCCCCACCACACTCCCCTCAGCAGAGGGCCTGTGTCCCCGTTTCTGCCCTGGGTCCCCGCCCCATCTCCTCTCCCCTGAACCCAGGGGTTCTGCTGCTCTGTCTTGCTCTGAACCTGTAGGAACATGGCCAGCTGAGCAAGCCCGTGATTGGCTGGCTCTGGCCGCGGGGTCTGATACATTGTCTGACGCAGGGCGAGAAAAACAGTGTGGACTGGGGTGACCTGAACCTGGTGCTGCCATGCCTGGAGTATCACAACAACACGTGGACGTGGCTGGACTTTGCTATGGCCGTGAAGCGGGACAGCCGCAAGGCATTGGTAGCACAGGTAAGGGCCTGGAACCTCCCCCTGCTGAGGAGCAGGGGAGAGAACTGCCCCAGGCACTTGGAGCACTCTGGGTTTAGCTGTTAGCACTGGGGACTGAGTTATAGCCCCTCTCCTGTCAGTCATGTTGGGGAGCCCCGATGCTCTCCTCACCTTCCCCTGAGTGGTGCTGGGCCTGTGCCCGCGGTGAGTCTCTCTCTGGGAAGGGCAGAGAACATAAGAACGGCCAGACTGGATCAGACCAAAGGCCCATCTAGCCCAGTATCCTGTCTGCCGACAGTGGCCAGGGCCAGGTGCCCCAGAGGGAATGAACAGGACAGGTAATCATCAAGCGATCCATCCCATGTTGCCCATTCCCAGCTTCTGGCAAACAGAGGCTAGACACTATCCGTGCCCATCCTGGCTTATAGACATTGTTGGACCTATCCTCCATGAACTTATATAGTTCTTTTTTGAACCCTGTTATAGTCTTGGCCTTCACAACATCCCCTGGCAAGGAGTTTCACAGGTTGACCGTGTGTTTTGTGTGGAAAAAATACTTGCTTTTGTTTGTTTTAAACCTGCTGCCTATTAATTTAATTTGGTGACCCATAGTTCTTGTGTTATGAGAAGGAGTAAATAACACTTCCTTATTTACTTTCTCCACACCAGACATGATTTTATAGATCTCTGTCATATGCCCCCTTATTTGTCTCTTTTCCAAGCCGAAAAGTCACAGTCTTATTAATCTCTCCTCAAATGGCAGCTGTTCCATATCCCTAATCATTTTGTTGCCGTTTTTTCCAATTCCAATATATCTTTTTTGAGATGGGGTGACCACATCTGCACACAGTATTCAAGATGTGGGCATACCATGGATTTATATAGAGGCAGTATGATATTTTCTGTCTTACTATCTATCCCTTTCTTAATGATTCCCAACATTCTGTTCACTTTTTTGACTGCCACTGCACATTGAGTGGATGTTTTCAGAGAACTATCCACAATGACTCCAAGATCTCTTTCTTGAGTGGTAACAGCTAAAATTTAGACCCCATCATTTTGTACGTATAGTTAGGATTATGTTTTCCAATTTGCATTACTTTGCATTTATCAATATTGCATTTCATCTGCCATTTTGTTGCCCCGTCACCCAGTTTTGAGAGATCCTTTTGTAACTCTTAGTTAAGTCCCAAGCACATTGCGATCTTGAGTAGTTTTGTATCATCTGCAAATTTAGTCACCTCACTGTTTACCACATTTCCCAGGTCATTGATGAATATGTTGAATAGGACTGGGCCCAGTACAGACCCCTGGGGGACACCACTATTTACTTCTCTCCATTCTGAAAACTGACCATTTATTCCTACCCTTTGTTTCCTGTCTTTTAACCAGTTACCAATCCATGAGAGGACCTTCCCTCTTATCCCATGGCAGCTTACTTTGCTTAAGAGCCTTTAGTGAGGGATCTTGTCAAAGGCTTTCTGAAAATCTAAGTACACTCTATTCACTGGATCCCCCTTGTCCGCATGCTTGTTGACCCCCTCAAAAAATTCTAGTAGATTGGTGAGGCATGATTTCCCTTTACTTTAACCACGTTGACACTTCCCGCCCCCCCCCCCCACCCAAATCATGTTCATCTGTGTGTCTGACAATTCTTTGCTTTACTAGAGTTTCAACCAATTTGCCCGGTACTGAAGTCAGGCTTCCCGGCCTGTAACTGCTGGGATTGCCTCTGGAGCCTTTTTAAAAAATCAGCATCACATTAGCTATTCTCCAGTTGCTTGGTACAGAAGCTAATTTCAATGATAGGTTACAGGCTGCAGATGAGCGGTCTGTGGGGCTGCTGGAAATGCCTGGGCTGGAACGGGCACCGCTGTCTCTGCCAGGCTTGCCCAGATTGCTGCCAAGTCCCCGGCTCTGGGGCAGGCTGTGCAGAGGAGCCCCAGGGAATGAGCCCTAGTTAGGTCTTTGGCTGAGCTGTTGCAGCCAGGGCAAGCCTTGGCCATCCCCCACCCCGGCTGTCTCCTGACCCTCTCTCCGCTGCGCAGGTGATCAAGGAGAAGCTGCGCCTGAAGCCAGCTGCTGGGACTGAGGCCCGAGGGAAGCTGGAGAACAAATCGGACGGGACCATCCAGCAGCAGCAGCAGGAGGAGGATGAGAAGGCGCGGCTACTCATCGGCCTGAGTGTGGGCGAGAAGAACCCCAGCAAGAAGTCCATCTTTGGCAGGCGCAAATGAGGGCAGCACCCGGCTGGCCGGGAAGGGACTCAGGCGGCTCCTGCCACCTCTTGGGCACATGGCCCCTTTGCAGGCCTGAGCTGGCACAAACAGCCAGTGACTTTGTCTAGGTGGGGGGCCCTTGGTGGCACAGCCCAGCCATGGCACAAGAACTCGATGGACCGATGGCACGGGCAGAGCCCCTGTCCAGGCAGGGAGCGGCATGGCGGTAGGGGGACGGCACGCAGTGTGAAGCAGCTCCCCAGCAGCGGGAGCTGGGGAGGCTGCGTCACCCAGGGCCCGGGCTGCTTTCATTTGCACAGAGCCTGGGTGGTGAGGAGCACTCGAGTTGTTATCACTGGTGTGTCCTGCGCTGGCGTCACTGGGCCTGCGACACTGTAACGCGGCTGCTCCAGTCTGGTTACTGTTGGGAAGTGGGCACTGAGGAGAATTTAAATAAGAGTTTTTAATTTGGACCCATCTCTGTCCTGGTGTTACTGATCAGTTCCCCAGCAGGGAGAGGGCCGCAGCCAGGGCCCCGCGTCCTACCAGCACCTGGGCCCAGTCTGAGCCTGCTCCCCCACCCAGAGAGCTACCAGCACTTGGTGGCTACTGGAGCCTCATGGCCCGCTGAGCTGTTTTCCCCTCACTCTCTGGTGCAGCCAGGCCTGCTCTGTGTCTTGGGGCCCCCGGCAGAGCTCTGCTGTGCAGTACAAGGTCTGTGAGTCTCAGCTCCCCGGACAACGTGGGGGCTGCTGGGGCTGAGGTGCAGCTGGAGGTGACAGAGCTGATCTGTTCCCCCCCCACACACACATACACTTTCATGGATTGTTTATCCAGCCCAGGTCCAGATTACTGCCTAGGGGTAGGAACCTTTCCTGGGAGCTGCCCCCTCCCCCTGGTTAGGTGCCATGAACACCCCTTGGCTTCACCCTGTTCCACGTGTAACTTCTCCATGCTCCCAGCTGTGGTGCTCTCCCCACCACCTGCCTCTGCTCCGGTGGCTTTTTTTCAGTCCATGCCCCCCGCTCTGGGCTGGGCCGGTCAGTGCTGTTCTGGCTAGGGAAGCCCCATGCTGCACTGTGGAGCTGGGCCCCGGCTGAGATGAGACCCAGCAGCAGACCTTGCTGGGCCTTTTTCAGTGGCACCGGCACTGCGGTAGTCAGAGGCCCTCCTTCCCCCTGTATCTTCCTGGCAGCAGGCGCCCAGGAGAGAGCATGAGAGCCCGAGGCCGGTTATTGTCTGTGGGCCGGGGGCCCTGGGTGGGTCCTTTGTCCACAGGGGCTGAGACCCTCGCTGAGATGAGCAGCAGCAGCTGCTGGCTGAGGGAGGAGGATGAACCATGGAACTAACTCCGGCCAGCATGACCTGAGCAACGTCCCAGGGCCTTGCTTGCTGCGGTGCTTGGGGCAGCTACCGGCAGAGCCAGCAGGGCCCGTGTCTGCCCTGGGGCCCATCACTCCGGGGCCCCTTACGGCCCTGCTGGGCCTGGCTCCTGCATGCTGATCAATATCCAGGAGGTGGGTGTAACCTAGGACAAATTGTCCTGACTAAAGCAGCATTGGGTGTGTCCTATAAGGAGGAGCAAACAAGCAAATGGGCGGGATTTGCATGGCAATGAGGGAGTGGGGGTTATTTGCATTCTGCTGAGGGGGCGGGGCTCGCGTGGCACTGAGGAGCTGGAGTTATTTGCATTCTGCATGAGTGGGGCGGGGCTCGCATGGCAATGAGGGGGTGGGGTTATTTGCATTATGCATAAGCGGGGCGGGGCTCGCATGGCAATGAGGGGGTGGGGTTATTTGCATTAGGCATAAGGGGGCGGGGCTCGCGTGGCACTGAGGGGCTGGGGTTATTTGCATTCTGCATGAGGGGCGGGGTTCGCGTGGCAATGAGGGGGTGGGTTATTTGCATTATGCACGAGGGGGCGGGGCTCGCATGGCACTGAGGGGCTGGGGTTATTTGCATTATGCATGAGGGGCGGGGCTCGCGTGGCACTGAGGGGCTGGGTTATTTGCATTATGCATGAGGGGGCGGGGCTCGCATGTCAATGAAGCGGGGACGGGATCGCGCCTGTTTATGTAACCGGCCCAGAGGGGGATTAGCCGGGCCGGGCGCAGCGGGTTCTGCTGCCGGGACGCGATGGGGCCGGGGCTGCCGTAGGAAGGAGACGCGATGGGAGCTGCCAGCAGCGAGCCCGAGCCCCCGCCGGGCCCCCTCAAGGTGCGTACCGGGGGCGGGGCCGCAGGGGGGCGCCCGGGTCTCGCTGTGATGCGGGTCCATGGGCCCGTTCCACACAGCTGGTTTCTGTGCCCTGCCCCAGAGCTGGCTGCAGCCGGGCCAGGGGCTCATGCTTCTGCTGGCTCTGCAGGGCGGTGGCTTCGCAGACGAGGTCTCCTGGGTCCGGAGCTGGAAGAGGGTCTTGGCTGGCATTGGGGTGACGGTGTCCGGGCTGGAGCGCAACTTGGCCATGAGGAGGTGCCTCCAGCAGCGGCGAGGCCCGGGTGAGAAGCTGCCCCGGCTGGGCGAGAAGGTGGTGACGGGGTGGCCGGTCCCGCAGTTCGTCTCGCTCTTCCTCCCGGAGTTCCCCATCCGGCCCCCCCTGGGCCAGCCGCAGCTCAAGGTGCGATGCCCAGCGCCAAGCCGTTGTGGGGGTGGCAGGGCACGGGGAACAAGCCATGACCAGGGCCCATGGGTGTGGACTGGCCTCTTGTGGCCTGCATGGTCCTTTGGGAGCCCCAGGGCTGAGTCGGAGTCAAGGAGCCCAGCAGTGCTGGCGCACGATCCCGCGTGCAGGAGTGTCGCCAAGCTCCGCTCTCCAGCTGGGACTCGGGCAGCATCTGTTCCCTGGCCTCCAGCTCTCCCTCCAGCCCTGCGACTACTTGCCTTTCCTCTCTGACAACCAGAACGCTGGGGAGAGGAACGCCCCTGGGCTGGGGGTCACCCCCCATCCTTTGGGAGCAGGGGGGCAGGAGGCTGGGATGGTTCCCCCCACGCTCTGTCCAGCCTGGCCAGGAGACACTGTCCTGGGTAGTCCCTGCTGAGTCCCGTGCTGCTCTCGCGGGTCCTGGCTCTGCTGGTGGGCGCAGTCACACCCTGGCCACACTTACTGCTTCCTTCCTTTTAGATTCTGGGCTTTGTTGCTAAAGGCTCGTTTGGAACGGTCCTGAAGGTGCTGGACTGCAGGCGGGAGAAGGTCTTTGCTGTGAAGGTGGGTGCCCGTCTGACTGCCCCCCTTGCCCAGGGCGCTGCCTCGTTCTCCTGTGCTGACTCACTGGGGCCATGGCTCCTTCTCTTGTAGGTGGTCCCCAAAGTGGAGGTGCTGCGGCGTGACACCCTGAAGCAGTGCAAGGAGGAGGTCAGCATCCAGGTAGCTGCCGCTCTCCTTGGGGGCATGGGGCGCATCGGAGGGGTAGGGGGATCCCCTAAGGGAGGGGTGGCTTGGGGAAGAGACTAGACTCTGGAAGCTGCCCTGCCCCAGGGGCCTGGCCAGCTGCCCTGAGCTCGTTCTGTCACCAACCTTCCTGGCTCAGAGTCCCACGCAGGCCGTACTGGCCACGTCGTCTCAGTGCCCTAGGAGCACCGTCCCTTCCTTGGCACCACAGCTTCAGCATCTGGTTTGCAGATGTGCCTCTTAGCCAAGTTGCCGCCAGCCCCATTGGGGATCTGGGTGCGGCTGGCTCTCCTGAGATGCCATGAGGTCAGGGCCTGCCCCGGGTGAGGGCTGTATCCCAGGGAGGGTTAGGGCACGTTGGCAAGAGGGACGTCCTGAGCCTTCCTGCTCCTCCCCTTCTCCTCCTCCCCGATTTCTCCCTGTGGGTGTCCCCATCCCCAGCTCAGATACTCATGAGTCCTGTTTTTCTTTGTCCCCAGAGGCAGGTCAGCCACCCATTTGTTCACTGCTTAGGGGACAGCTGGCAGGGACAGCGGCATCTCTTCATTAGTGAGTCACCATCTGCCCCCCGGCGTCTCCCTAGAGTAGGGGCCCCGCCCGCCATGTGCACGTACACGGCTCTGTGCATCTGACCGACATTAAACCTTTTGTCCGCCCGCCCTCAGAGCTCTGGCAGCTGGAGTGCAGCCTGGCTCTGCCGCCCGCAATCCCCTGTGGATTAGGAGCTGCTTTGCGGCTCGCTCCCCTCCCCTATGGCCACCCATGGCTGGGTCATGTGAGCAGGATAAAGGCAGTTCCCTCTTGCAGGCCTGGCTCTAGGGTGACCAGATGTCCTGATTTTATAGGGACAGTCCTGATTTCTTGGTCTCTTTCTCATATAGGCTCCTATTACCCCCCACCCCCGTCCTGATTTTTCACATTTGCTGTCTGGTCACCCTACCTGGCTCCCCTACCCTGGGCTGGCACAGTTCTCTTGGCCCTTGGGCAATGAAGAGATCAGCAGCAAAGGGAAGCAGCCCCACTGCAAATATCAGCCCGGGGGCCATGCCCACTCTATGCCCTGTCTCTCCAGCAGGCCCCTTGGAGGCAGGGTCTGTAGAGGATCTCTGAGATGTGATCTGTGGGGAGGGAATCGCATTTGCCTGGAGTCCTGGCTCTTCCCAGCTGGACTGACTGTGTGTGCTGGGCCCCCCTAAGCTGTAATGTCTGTCTGTCTGTCCTGCTCCCTCTGCAGTGTGCACATACTGCAGCACCGGAGACCTGCACACGCTTTGGGCCTCTTTGGGGCGCTTCGCGGAAGCCACCATTCGCCTGTTCGCAGCCGAGCTGGTTCTGGCGCTGGGTGAGTGACCTGCTGAGGGACACTTGCATAGGGACAGAGTCCCTGTGGGTTCCCTGGAGCCGTGTGGCTGATGCTGCCAGCATCCTGGGCCCTGGGGAGGAGGCTGTGTGTGGGGCAGAGGGGCCAGGTGTGGGCTTCTCCCTGCCTGCCAGGAGCTGATGGTCAGACAGCGTCCCCTGTACTGGGGCAGGTCTATGATCCTCCTCAGCATGCCTGGTGGGGCTCTGGTGACCCTCCTCCTTTCTCCCCTTCCAGGTTATCTCCATGACCTGGGCATCATGCACCGAGACGTGAAGGTATGAGTGCCCTGGGAGAGGGGGTCTGACCTGCCCTGCCCCTCGCTGGACCGAGTCAGTGACACGCTCGGGGTGATGAGCTGTCCTGCTGCCAGCTGCGAGTCAGTGTTGGCTGTCAGGAGCGGGGGGGTGGCAAGTTCCTCTGTGATGGGGGGACCTCACCTCCCCCCAGGCCCCAAACTCACATCCAGTGGGGTGGGAGCTGGATTCAGCTGCTCCGCTCAGTGGAGGGAGTGGGCAGCTGCTCTTTCCCCCACTAGTTTGGGCGAGTCCTGCCCAAGGCCTGATCCAGCCCATTGTGGACCCTGGGCGGCTCTTAGAGGAGGGACTGGTCTCCTCACACAGGCAGACATGTGCGGTGTGAGCCGCAGGGGGGCCTCGCGACCAGCCTGATGGGAATATGGCCCTTTCCAGGCCCGCGAGGCCAGCTGGTGTGTCCTGGACAGGTGGCCTCACTTGGCTGAGTACACCCTGGACAAGGAGGTAATGTGAGCTCTGACCTCTCTCTCCTTTTCAGATGGAGAACATACTCCTGGACGAACGCGGTACGTGCAGCGCTGCCCCCTCCACACTAGGCATGAGCCGCTGTTCCCTGGGTGGGGGGAATGCTGGGCTGGCAGCGTCTGGGGCAGGGGGGGAATACTGGGCTAGCAGCATAGGGGGTAGGGTGCGGGGGGGGCAATGCTGGGCGGGCAGTCAGGGGCGGGGTGTATGTGGGGGGAACGCTGGGCTGGCAGTGTCTGGGGCGGGGGTGGGGTGGAACGCTGGGCTGGCAGCGGCAGGGGTAGGGTGCGGGGGGGAATGCTGGGCTGGCAGTCTGGGGCGGGGAGTGGGGGGGAATGCTGGGTTGGCAGTCTGGGGCGGGGAGTGGGGGGGAATGCTGGGCTGGCAGCATCGGGGGCGGGGGTAGGGTGCGGGGGGGAATGCTGGGTTGGCAGTCAGGGTCAGGGTGTGTGTGGGGGAATGCTGGGCTGGCAGCGTCGGGGGTAGGGTGCGGGGGGGGGAATGCTGGGCTGGCAGCATCAGGGGTAGGGTGCGGGGGGGGGAATGCTGGGCTGGCAGCGTCAGGGGTAGGGTGCGGGGGGGGGAATGCTGGGCTGGCAGCGTCAGGGGTAGGGTGCGGGGGGGGGATGCTGGGCTGGCAGTCTGGGGGCAGTGGGCTGACTCCATGTGGGCAGGGCTCTTGGAGAGGAGTGATACAGTGTGTGTCTGTGCACAGGGCACCTCAAGCTGACAGACTTTGGCCTTTCCCGCCACCTGCGCCGAGGGGAGCGGGCTTACACCATCTGTGGGACCCTGCAGTACATGGGTAAGGCTGGCCCAGGCTGCCGCTGGGCAATGGGGCTGAGGGTCGGGCACTGCACAAACCCTGACTCTGCTTTCTCTTGGGATTGACAGCCCCAGAAGTGCTGAGCGGAGGCCCCTACAGCCATTCTGCTGACTGGTGGTCTCTGGGCATCCTGCTCTTTACCCTCGCTACTGGGAAGGTGAGGTGACGGGGCCAGGGGAGATGCTATGGGGTCAGATTCTCTATCACTGGGAGGCGAGGGGCTGGGGCAGCATCCCTATTGGTCTGGGCACACAGCCCTACTATCCCATGGAGCCAAACTGGCGAGTTGGAGGGTCCGGGGGCAGAGGAGACACCTGTGTTCTCAGTCTCTCCCAGATCACATGTGGATGGGTCACTGGGCCACCCTTCTCTTTGTTCTGAGGCTGCCTCCACTCGGCAGCACTTCCGCCAGCACTACCGGAGTCTGCTAGCGGGTTCCCTGCTTCCCATCACCTGCACGATGCATTGGAGCCTCCGCCCGGGCCATGGTCTGGATTGTGGCTCTTGTGCAATAGATCAGGGAAGGGCTTGAGCCCAGAGGGCTGTGGCCTGCTGAGGGCTGGAAGAGGGTGTGTCTGATGGGTACCTGCAACCAACCTGTGGTGCTCACGCTGCAGCCTGGCTCCTCCCCTAAGCTGCTCCAGCCTGGACCTTGGGCTGGGCTCCTGCTGCAGCTGCTGGGCCTGCGCAGAGGCAGTGGTCAGTGGGAGGCAGCATCCTCTTCGGGAATGCTTCCTTCCGGGGGACTAACAGCCCTCTCCTGTCTCCCCAGTTCCCAGTTCCTCCAGAGCGAGACCACCTGGCCATGCTGGCGAGCGTGAACCACTGCAGCTACGAGAGCCCAGGCTCCCTGAGCCGGGGGCTGTCCCTCCTGCTCAGCGAGGTAACTCCTTCCAATCCCTCCTGCGCCCCCTTCCCTGGTCCCAGCCATCCCCTCTCCAGCAGGGCCGTGCTGGCTGAGTCTGTCCCCTGTACACGCAGCTCGTTCTCACGGTCAGGCTCTCCCTCCCCAGCTCCTGTGCCGAAACCCCCTGCGGCGCCTGCGCTACCTCCACCACTTCAAGAGCCACCTCTTCTTTCGGGGCGTGACCTTTGACGCCGAGCTCCTGCAGAAGCACCCGGTGGACGTGGTCGTGGCTGCGCGGCAAGCGGAGGCGGCGGCCCTGGAATCGTCCGTCACCTTTACAGACTTTGACTGTGACCTCCTGGCCTGGCTGCGGCAGAGCTGACCCGCTGCTCTGGCCCTGCTGGGGCCCTGGACCCATTTGCGGCTCCATCTCGTCACCGTTTGCAGGCTGTGACCAGGACCCCCATGGCCAGCCAGGAGCACCATTCGATCGGCTCAGGAACCCCCACTCATGCACCCCTCCAGCCACCTCAGGGAGAGCAGCAGCGGGCACCGGCCCCCGCCCCACCAGTGGCTCTTGCCTGGGCCGGTAGATAGGAAGCGGCTCCCCTCAGTGGCACCCCCTATTGCCAGGCCAGGCTGCCCCCCCCCAGGTTAGACTCAGGCCGCCCCGCCGCAGAGGCTGCCCTGGCTGGCCCAGGTCCCGGCAGGACCCCCCCGTCTGTACGGGAGCCGCGCGGAACGGGACTACGCAATAAATAGCATGTCCAGTGCTCGGCGTGGCGTGGCCGTGGGCTGCGTGGGGCGGGCGCGGGCTGGGGGGATCCAGAGCGAACCGCTAGGGGGCGCCCCAGGCTCTGAGCGCTGGGATTAGCGATCGGGGGGATCCCGATCCCGCCCACACAGCTACGTCAGACGGGGGAGGGGGGGGGACACGGCGTCGCCCCGCCCCCTCACGTAACGACGCCGCTGGCGGCTGCAGCCAATGGCATTCGCGCGCTCTGTTCAAATGGCGGGTGCGGCGGGCGGCGCGCGGTAGCGGAGCAGGTCGGGTCC